AATACTAGAACGCAAGGGCATCCAATGAAGTTGATGGGCAGTAGGTTCAGGATGGACAAAAAGAAATACTACTTTACACAGAGAGTGATTAAAATGTGGAATTTGCTGCCAGAGGATGTCGTGATTAGGGATGAGAACAAACCGAACTATGAAGCAAAATTCATCACAAATTTTGCCCTGTTCGTGATTTGTAACCCAAAGTTTGTGATGAGTCTACCATCACAAACATGTTGCGGTTCGTGGATAAAGCAGAAAGCAGGGGTTTAACAGGGACTCTGAGACCCTGTAAACCCTAGCTTTTATTCTCTGCAAAAGCTGCAAAAATGGCTGAGTGGCAGGGAGTACCCTGCTCCCCACCATTCAGCTGTTTTGGGCTGCCTTGTGCAGTCACTTAAAACTTTAAAGGGAGTGCACAAGAAAGCCCCCCCCGCTGTTTTCTGGGCTTTCTGCAAACCCCGTTTAAAGGGACTAGTGTCCCTTTCAACCAGGTTTGTGAGGCCATAAACCTCCAATTCAACTTGGTTCATGGTTCGGCCGCAAACCACAAACCAACATGAACTGCATTTTTCCAGTTTGTGCCCATCCCTAATAGAGATGGCCACTGGAATAAACAGCTTCAAAAGGAGATTAAGTAGATTCATGGAGACTATCAATGGCTAATAGCAACCTCCACATTCAGAGCCACTATGCCTTTGAATCCCAGAGCAAAGAAGCAACATCAGGGGAAGGTCTTGGTCTCTATGCCCTGTTGTTGACCATCCAGAGTTACTGGTTGGCTGCTGTGTGAGACAGGATGCTGGACTAGATGGACTATTGATCTGATCCAGCAGGGCTCTTCTTACGTTCTTAGAACAAAATCTGAGTCCAGTGGCACCTTTAAGATCAATAAAGTTTAACTCTGAGCACATGAAAGCTTATACCCAGAATTAAACTAAAGGTGCCACTGGATTCAACATGTGATGAAGTTTAGCTTCATAAATATGCTGGCAGCCTCATTTATCTTTACTCTTTGAGACAATTTCTATGATAAAGTTTAGCTTCATAAATATGCTGGAAGCCTCGTTTATCTTTACTCTTTGAGACAATTTCTATCCAAATAGTACAGTTTCTTTTGTTTACTAGCTTCAGCTGTTTTCTCCTACTGAAGATACATATGCTACGCTAGAATACATATGCTAGGATGCAGCAGTATTGGGTGTATTTGTAGTTTCCTACAGAAAGTGAAGAGATTTGTACTTTTAAATTCCGTAAAGGTGCCAAATAGAACAATTTTATATCTTGACAAAGTTATAAATGATGCTGGAAATGATGCATTTTATGTGGTTCAGTAAAAGAAGTTTGGATTTGATAGCAAGTATTGTATATTTTAAATTCCCCCCCAATTTTCCAGTTTTTTCTGGAGGGGAAATGTTTCTCCCCCTGTAGCTTCAAAATTTTCACAAATTTTGTGAAATCTCTCTATATTTTCTTGGTGATGACATGCAGAACTCTTAAACCCCTTTGCTTTACAGCGTTTCTGTGCTGCCGACGCACAGGAAGAGTGACCAGAGTGCTGATTCAGTGCTGAGCAAGTATCATGTTACCTCCATTGCAAAATCCAACTATTTTACGCCTGAAGTAAAAATAGAAAAGAGGATCTTGCCTTTTCTCTCCTGAAAGTATTCCACACTCTAATAGAGCCAGTTTCCAGGCACATTTTGAAAAATTCTTAAGTCAGAGATTCTTGTACAATTTAAGATTAAACTGAAAATTGTCACAATATTAAATGAGTAACTCCCGCCAACTAGCTATCGGCCTAATGCTCACCTCCCAAACTCCGGTAAAAAAACAACACAACCTCTGGCGAAGTCATCCTACACCTGGAACATCTCAGAAGAGGAAGCAATGTTCCAGAGTGACAGTAAGTAGAAAAGGGGAAAACCAACAGCCTATTAAGATAGACACTTTCAATCCAGTTCTGGACTCAGGAAAGGGGAAAAGGAAGGATCGCCACTATGTAAATAGATTCCAGTGTGTAGCTGTGCTGATCTGAAGCAACACAACAAAGTCTGAGTCCAGAGGCACCTTTAAGACTAACAAAGTTTAATTCTGGGTATACGACCAGTTCTGGACTCAGGAAAGGGGAAAAGGAAGGATCGCCACTATGTAAATAGATTCCAGTGTGTAGCTGTGCTGATCTGAAGCAACACAACAAAGTCTGAGTCCAGAGGCACCTTTAAGACTAACAAAGTTTAATTCTGGGTATACGTTTTCGTGTGTACGCACGCAAAAGCTTATACCAGAATTAAACTCTGGTTGGTCTTT